CATGGTTTTTTTTTTTTTTTTTTTTTTTTAAATCAGAAAAAGGCCCCATTTGGTTAGGTCTCAAGTTTGCTTCCCACAGCCAGACGCGTTGCCCGGGGGTCATCAGAGCACGTGTCCCGTCTCTGCTCATTTTGAGATGGATCGAGCTGACCGCCAGCTTCCCCGGCATTCCCGTCAGGAGGGCTCGGCAGTGCGCTGTTTTGTGGTGCAGTGTTTGCCGCCCAGAAGCTGACTCTAAGAAGGTCTCCCTTGGGCCCCCTCCTGAGGGGCACTGGAGGGGCCGCTGGCCTCTGCCTCATCTCCTGGAGGTGGGACCGGGAGGCGTGAGTCTGGGGGCAGTGCCCAGGCAAAGCAAGTGAAGGGCCGGGTGGGCGGCGCCCTCCTGTCTGTTTACACTCGTGGTTGTCAGGTTTCTCCACGCGGGCATTACTGTTTCTTCTGTGGCAGCGCCCTGTCGTTCTGCTGTGACTCGCTGGTTTCACCCTGCCCTCTCTCCAGGGCGACCGTGTCCCCTCCTTGCGGAGCACCAACTGCTGACCTGCTCAGCATCACCGAACATCTCGAGTCCTCGGATGCTTTATTCAATAAAAACTTAGGCCAGACTGTCAAGGATGCGGTATTTTTATTGCTGCACTATGATTAAAATGCACAGTTCCCCACCCATTCGAGCTTGGGGCAAAAGTAGCAATTGCCATGAAACCTTTTATTTTGGTTTCATTAGTACTTTGAAGAGGTTGTTAGGAAAAATAAAAGCAAATTGGGATCATTTAAGAAACGTTTTCACCGTAATTATAGCAGGGGCACTGGCCGTTCAGTTCCAGGTTGGTTTTCTCTATAGAAAAGTCGCAGTTCTTGTTTCTCTGTCGCTCCCGAGCTCATGCAGGTCTGGTCTGCAGGTGGGTCCGTGGCCCCCGGTGCCGGCCAGGCGGCCCGGGCTCAGAATGCGTGAGTCTCTGACTTTAGGAAACGCACAGCCTGGAAGGGTAGGGCAGGGCCTTCTTGCAGGACAGAAGCGTCCAGCCTGGGCTTGGAGTCCAAGACGAGGGTCGACAGAGCAGACCTGGCAGCAGGCTCACCAGACCTGTCCCTTCACCACCCCTTTCCCCATATTCAACACCCCAAACCTGGACTGGGACCTTTAAGGCTCCTTCGTGATGTGGCCACAGGGCAGGCAAGTGCCCTCCAGCCTCGGGTGGAAAAGACTGCACATCTGGGCCCAGGCAACCCTCTGGGAAGCAGAGTGGGGGCAGATACCAGTTTGGGACAGGGGGACAGAGTCACAAAGCCTGTTGTCCTGCAAGGTGGTGATCCACAGGCCCCCGGTCACCAGGCATGGGCTGCTGGACGGAGCCTCTGCTGGGCGCACCCCACCCCAGGCTTTCAGGCTCAGTTTGTTGGCTCATTAGGCAAGTTCAGGGACGCGCTGAGCCCTGCTCTGCCCTCAGCTCAGCCAGAACGAGAGGTGCCAGGCTTGCAGGCCTCCCTCTCCTAACACGGGCTGTGTGGGCCCCATCTGTCCCGAGCTCAGAGTTGCCCGCAATCTCGGCTCCCATTGGTGGGCCCCTGACCACTGACCTTCCCGCGTGGCCACCCCTGGGGGGCAGGCCAGGACACCTGGGGTCCCCCCGACCCATGCTGAAGGTCGGCTGGGGCGATGGGGCCAGGACCAGACCAGGCCTCCGGGGGCCACCAGGCACTGGGGCCTAGCGACTGGGGTGCTGGGGGTGTGGGGGGCCCGGGGGTGTCGGCTGGTGTCTGACCTGGAAAGTTGGGACTGAAGCCCCTCATGGCTCTTTCCAGGGGTGCCACCTGCTGTCCTTGACGAGGCCAGGGCTGACGCCAAGCCGGGCGGGGCGTTAAGTGGCCGGGGCCGGGACTGCCGGGGCGGGAGGGTGAGGCCGTACACGGAGGTTGGGTCCTCAGCTGTGGCAGCCCCGCTCCCGGCCTGGCTCAGCCCCACGCAAAGCGTGCAGAGGCGCCTGGCCCCTGACGGCTCTGTGGCAGATCTGGGCACGGGGAACACGGCCCCATGTGCCAGGCCAACTCCGGCCTCTCCGCAGCCCTGTGGCTGGGCTTCCTGCCCAAGATGCAGAGGGCCCTGTCCCCTCCCCGTGTTGGCCGTGGGCAGCCGGACAAGGGAGAGGAGTTGCCAGCAGGGTTGGGCGCAAAGTCGCCAAGCCTGTCAGAGCCAGCGGGGCGGGAATGCCACAGAAGGAAGCATGGCCCGAGGCGGTGGGGACCTGCTAAGCTTCAGTCCCGTCTTTAAGGAGCAGCACCCGCTGGGGGAGGGGAGCCCCTGCCACCCCAGGCTCCTCCCCGCAGGGCCCCCCAAGTGCAACCAGGACCCAAGAACACCCTGAAGTCTGTCAGGCCGCCCTCTGCCGCTTACATGACCACAAACACCACAATGAGTGGCAAACCTTGGTGGGACCCTGAGGTAGGCCTGGGGATAGACCCTCTCCCTGCAGGAGACCCCTGACCACTCAGGGGAACCACGGCCTAGCAGCCTCTCTGCCCGACCCCCCAGCCCCATCTCCGGTACCCTCGGTGCCGGGCCACAGACCCTCCACGGTCACGAGCCCCACCCGGAGGAGCCAAGACCCCAGCCCCTCTCCCTGACAAGGTCCCTTCAGAATTAATGGGAGGGGACCTGACGGGGGCTTCTCCCTGACAGATGCTGAACTAGACACTCAAGCCCCTCTGCTCAGCCCCACTCCCCTCGAGGCTGTGGGCTTTGTTTGCTCCGTGCCTCAGTTTACCCCGAAAGAGGAGGCTGTGGTGCAGTTTGGTGGAGGCTCCGCCCTGGGCCTGGGCCTGGGCCTGAGCAGTAACTGGGGAACTCACCCAAGCAAACCTTTGCGTGGAATCTCCCCTCACCTCGGGAGGGAGCGGGAGTGAGGAGGAGTTAGTGACAAGGGCCGGCCAGCTCCTGCCTAGACGATGACGCGGCAGCCCTGGGACCTTGTGGAGGTATGGGCCTCATGCTGCCCCAGAGCCGTGGCCTCCACCAGGCCACTCACTGGTCTTGTCCCTGCACCCTGGGACGTGCCCAGGGCTGCGCCGAGAGTGCAGGGAAACGGAGCCGCGGGGCGAGGAGGGCCCAGGGCTGGGAGGGGCGGGCCAGACCGCTGACCTGGGTGGGGCCGCACGCTAGGAGCCCTCGCGGAAGCTGTGGATCTGCGTGGAGAACTTCTGCAGGTGGCCCTCGGGCGGGGCCTCGGAGCCCCCGAGCGTGCCCCGGGCCGCCTGCTGCGGCTGCTGGTAGTGCTGGTAGAGCTTGGGGACTGGCCCGTCCAGGCCCGGGAGGCGGCCGCTGGACATGGTCAGGATGGTGGCGGTCAGCGACTTGATGTAGTTCTTGGCCAGCGTGAGCGTCTCGATCTTGGAGAGCTTCTTGTCGGCGCGCACGTGCGGGATGACCTCGCGCAGCGCCTGGAAGGCGTTGTTGAGCTTGTGCATGCGCTGCCGCTCGCGCTCGTTGCTCTCCAGCCGCCGCTGGACGCTGCTCTCCCGCCGGCTCCCCGGCCCCGGCCGCCGGCGCCCGCCCTCTGGCCGCGCCCCCTGCGCGCGCGCCCTCCGGCTCCGCAGAGCCTTGGCCGCGTCTGGCCCCGAGCCCGGCGGTGGCCTGTCGGGCGTCCGCTCCCCTGGGGTGGCTTCTGGGTCTTGCGGGGGCGCCCGGCGCCGGGGAGGCCGGCTCTTGGTCTTCATGTCTCCAGACTGGATGTCAGATCG